ACGCTGATCACAGGGCAGGACCCGAAGTGCTGCGTGGTGGCGGCCAAGGTGGCCGCAGAGGCCTTGGAGCACCCCAACCCAGACATTCAGCACGCTGGCTCCATGGCGCTGGTGGGCATTGCCCGGGTGCAGAATCCCGCGAAGAAGGCCGCCCCCAAGCAGACTCTCGAACAGCAGCTGGCGCAGGTTCGGGCCTCACCGCTGGCACAGCTGCAGGCGCGGAAAGGAGGAACCAGAAACTTGGATGATGAGGAGGAGACCTTCCCCAAAGTCAGTGGGGAGGAGCTAGAAGTAGTCATCGCCATGCTAGATGCAGCAGAGGCAAAGCAGGATCGACGAGGGTCTGATGATCAGGCAGACAAGGAAGCGTCGGAAGTTGTCTTGGGGATGCTGAACGGCATGACGGAGCGAACAAGAGCCCTCACCTTGCCACAAGCCCCAGCAGAAGCTGCTGGTCTGCAAGTGGTGCGAAGGGACAGTTGTTTGTCTTTCTTGCTGTGTTCCTTGCTTGCTTTCTTTTCGTTTAATTATTTATTTCCCTTCTTCTGTTTATTGTTTCCCTTCTTCCTTTTTCCTTGACTCATTCGTTTCCTTTCGGCTTGGTGCGCATCAGGAGCTTTCGGAGGAGTCGGAGTGGGAGAACGACGACTCCGAGAGCGCCACAGACAGCGACTCGGAGGAGGCCTTTGTGGAGCGCCCGTCGCCGACCAAACGGCTGCAGGAAGCCGTGAAGACGCCTGGGCCGAAAGGGCGGGTTCCTCCTCACCGCGTTGCCATGTTGCCCCTTTACCCGTTGCTTTTTGTTTGTTGTTGGCTAAGGGACCTCTGAATTAGTTGGTCCAAGCATGGATTGTGGACTGTTTGCACGCTCAAGGAAAGCCTTCATTGGCAAGCTTGCGTCCAAGAGCACCGGGAGACTTGCTACCATGACAACCACCGGTGGTCAGTCCGTCGCTGAGAAGATGAGAAGAGTCCAGCAGAAAGAAGGTCAGACTCAGTCTTGGAGGCGAGTGGAGAGTTTGCTCCTGTCTGGAGATGCGCAGAAGCGCTTGGCGGGGCTTCGGGATGTGGCAATGGCAGCAGGAGTTGCACCCAACTTGGCAGCAACCACTGGGATGGCAGCGGTAGTGCAACGTAGGGCGCAGGCCAAAAGCATCCTGCAGGACATGGTATCAGACCCGTGTTGGCAGGTTCGCAGGGCAACGTTGCAACTCTTTGCCGACGTGGCCTGCGAAGCAAATGCCGACTTCCTCCCGGCCACCATCGCTGCCACTGCTGACAGCATGTGGCAGGTTCGCGCAGCTGCATGCAGGGGGTGTGCTTGCCTATGCGCAAAGCGGGATGGCGAGGTTCCTGAAGAAGAGGGAACCAATGCCGCAGAAGCGGTGTCTGAATTGGTGAAGGACTGGCACAGTGCAGTAGCGCTTGAAGCGCTGAATGCCCTCGAGAAGATTGCAGAAGCGCTACCTTGGAGACCCGCCGACTTATGCAGATGGTATGCGCAAGCCTTGGCTCACAAAGACAGGGAGGTCCGGGACCTGGGTTGTAGCACCCTCTTTCGTTTGGCCAATGCCCCTGGTCATGAGGAGGCAACAGAAGCCACAGCCGAGTTGCTGGAGCATCACGAGCCGCAAGTCAAAGAAGTGGCGGGCAGACTTCTCAAGCACATCGGCCCAACCAGCAGCCTCATTGCGTCAGTCAGCAGCAGAATGTCCCCAAACTATGACGAGCCAACTCGATGTGCCGCACTCGGGACATTGGCAGAGCTGTCGCAGATTGTGGAGAGCTTTCTGCCAGACTCACCGCACGCGCCACACTCACCTAAGGAGGGCAGGGAACTCAATGAGACCTACTCTTCAGAACTGCGCCGCGTTCAAGAACGACAGCAAATGGCCCTGAAAGCTGCTCAAAGCACAGCCTGGCTTGGGCTTCAGGACCCCGCGGCGGCCGTGCGCCGTGAAACCATCATACAGTTGAAGGATTTTTCCCCTGCTCCTTGGCAAAACGCCTTGGACACGGTGCAGTCCATGTTGGCCACTCGGTCAAACTTCGAGCCGGCTTGCCGCTGTGCCCTGCTGCAAGCAGTCAGCTGCTTGTTCCTTGCTTCGGACGATGTCACGAGTCCGCAGGGTGGGCCTGCAGAGAACATGGGCAAGGACGACTTGATGGCCCTGATGGAGCTGATTGCGTCTTGCTTTGAAGATGAGGATGCAGAGGTCCGGGAGGTGGCCATACGCGTTCTACATGGTCTCACAGAGGGCGGCCGAGGTGGTGGTCCCAACCGCACTGTCCAGGCCATCATGGTGGCAGCACAGAGGCTGGGGCATGCGGAAGCAGATACGCGTTTGGCAGCGCAAACTGTGCTGGAATTGCTCGGTGGCTTCAACGTTGTCTCAGACAAGAAATCCAAGAGCTCCGAGCACGGCAATCTCTTTGAAGCAGCACGGGCGGCAGGTGAGGCATTGGGTAGCCCCGACCCGGCCAAGCGCACAGGCGCTCAGCGCATCCTGGTGAATTTGGCATTGCAAGGAAAGTCTCATCGAGTCACAGCCGCCGCTTTTGCGGTGGCAAACTTGAAAAGCGAGGACAGAGATGTGTTGAAAGATGTTGCCGACACCTTCTTCAGCCTGAGTGCCGAGGGCGACCCGGATATTCTGGAGTCTGTGGGCTCCAACTTGCCGTCTGTGTCGGCGTCCACTCGAGAAGTTTCTCTCCAGATTTTGTCAGCCTTGTCACCACCAGGCAGCATTGGTGACGCCCTGTCCGCAGATGGGGAGGCTGGCAGCGTGCTCCTCCGCCAGCGGGTGGCCACATGTCTTTGTGACAAGGTGCAAGAGGTGCGCTTGGCTGCCATCCCCGCATTTGCTCAATTGGTGAGGCCAGAAGACAAGACCGTGTCTGAAGTGGCCCTCAGGTTGCCCACCTTGCCGAGTGCAGTGCGCAGAGACAACTTGGAATCTCTGGTTCTTGTTTGGGCCGCAGGCAGGGCTGAAGCAGGCCCAGAAGAAGCTGCCTCGGTGGCTTGCTGCCTCGAGGACGAAAGTCGTGAGGTGCGGCAGCTGGCGGTGACCTTGCTGCGGGCATCCCGCAGCGCAGGCCGCCCAGATGGCGACCCAAAGCCAACCCTGAGCACAGAGGCAGCCCTATCGGCTGCAAATCCGGATGAAGCCCCCGGGGAGCGTGGCGCCATCCGCGCCGTGGCTTCGCGGCTGCGGCACCGCCAGCCCGAGGTGCGGCAGGCAGCGGTGGAGGCCTTGGCGGCGGTGGCCGGTGGTGGGCCGCGGGGCTACGACAGCTACGCCGTGTCCGCCGCCGCATCCTTCCTGGACGCCGACCGGTGGGAGGTCCGCAAATCTGCAGTCCAGGCAATCTTGCGCTTGGTGCCCCCCAAGATCCATGCGTACTTGCCAAGCTTGTCCTCGCTGGTGAACACGCAGAATGATCAGATTTGGGCCGAGCATCATGATGCCATCAGCTCCATGGTGTTTCAGTGCTGCACTCATCAAGACCAGCTATCGAAGCGCATTCCAAGACTGGTTCAGCATCTTGCAGAGTATTTTTATCGATATCAGACGCTTTAAGTTTACCTGGCTGCTGTGTAAAACAACATTGCAACTATGATGTACATATACGCACCCTTGAGCTGTCACAAAGTGACATGATGGGCCCAGGTGGGCCAGTCAAGGTAACGTGGGACTGAAGCATAGGCCCGCCGTAGTAGAAAGTCAGAGTTTGCTTTGTAGCATGCGGTGGCCTGCAATTTTCCATGGCGGTCTGTTCTTCATCGAAAGTTCAACCGCCGGCAGGTAAGATGGCGCCCATGGGTGCAGGCTTGCAGGGAGCAACTCAAGAGTCGATTTCTGCGAATAGCCTGGACCACTAGAAGTCTTGCAGGTTGACAGTCGTGTTTTCCCAACTGCATGTCCACTTCCGAAGAGCCTGAGAGTCGTCCAGACAGGAAGGCTACTGTCGTGGCCGACATCCTTTGAGGCGCCGCCGCCGGAGGAGGCCTTGGCCTCAGTGGCCTCAGTAGCAGTAAAGCGGTAAAGCGGCACAAGGGGAGGTCCATTGGGAAATTGGAACCGAATTCAGAGATCAATGGACCTCCAGTGATCAATGGGTCCATGGTTTTTTCTTTTTTTAATGCCCAGGCTGCCGAGCCTGCAGCCATGAACCAACCAGAGGCCGTTGGGGACACCTTGCCGCTGGACATCCATGTCGCCTGGCAAGACAAGTGCGGAATGGCCGTGTTGCAAAGCTTATCCAAAAATATTCGGTTTGTTTGCTTTTGAGGTCATCATCAAGAAGGCGTTCGATGGGCATGGGACCTCTGCCCAACTGTGGCCTTGGGCTCTTAGATGCAGGCTGCTGGTGGCGTCGGTGGCATGCAAGTCACAAAGCCCGCCACGGAAGGAGGCCGGGCTCTGGGGCCGCCACGCTCGGAGTGCGAACTGGCACCGTACGAGGCTTGCTTCCGGAGGCAGCAGGCGCCCCTGTGGCGCCGCCAGCTGCGAAGGCGGCCATGCCACTTTTGGCACCAAGGCCGGCGCAGTCGCGAGCACCAAGCGTGTTCAATTTGGGGTTGGGGCACCCTGTCCACAGGGTTTGGGCATTTGTTGGGCCAGGTGGATGGATCATCGCGAGGTTGAAGGCAGGGGGAGTGTGTGTCAGGAGGGGGGATGTGCGTCACTGTCCATGGTTGGAGGCAGGAGGCGGCCCGCCGCGGCGCTCTCTCGCTTCCTTTAGGGGCCTGACTCGGACAGTGTGTAGATATGCACGTCCATGCTTCAAGTCAGAATGTGAGAAGCAGTGGTCTGTACAATGCGCGTAGGGCTGGAGTCCAATCCAAGCGCCTCTAGGGCGCCGAACATGTGCTCTACGCAGCACTCTGTCACACGACTTGGTGCTCAAAAGCTTCACTTTGCACAGTGCTTCGTACATGGCCTTGTTGACGCGGAAGCAGAAAGCCTGTCTCCTGGCACCCTGCGTCCAGACCTTAGGTGCACCTCATTTTCCTCTACAGGCCCGCACCCGATCCTGATCTCTTTGGCGCCATGCGTTGCAGCACGTGCGGCCAAATGCGGCCAATGATCCCTTAGGCAGACAGAGGGCTTCAGCTTGAAAGAAGTTAGAGCTGGCCACTCGGGATCTTGAAGCGCGTGTGTGCCAAACTTGGTTTGGACCCTTTGCTGGCCCCAGGTTCTTCGTGGGATTTGTGCGCGGGAGGCCTGGGCCTGGGGCTTGCGGGCTTGGCGGCTTTGCGGCCGCAGTCGCCTTGCGCTTGATCTTGCTGCCTGTTATGCACTTGGGCTCAAGCAGCCGGGAAGGGACGCTTTGCGACATTCATTTGGCCAATCCGCGGCTGCAGTTTTTGGGGTAGCTACGCTAGTATGCTCAGACAGGCACACAGACTGGCAGTCGTACAGGCAAAAATAGTTACAAAGAGACACTTTACACTTTCATTTGCCAAGCGTGACGCGCAGTGCACCGGCACCGCGCTTATTTTGTTCGCCAGCTGCCAGAGTGTTGCATTGCTTGCTTGAACCGACTGTACTGTTCAGCCTCGGCATGCAAGGCGCAGCGCGAACCGTAGTGTGGCGCTGCGTGGTGGACATGGAGTTGCACGTGCCTGGCTGAGGGAGCACTTTGGCTCTTTTGCATCCTTTGCTGCTAGTTCCAGCTGCTTCTGAGGTGGTGGAAACCGAAGGTATTCCTGAAGGATGTGTGCTGTCAGTGCGAGCTGGAGCTACTCGCAGACAGGAGCGCTGAGAACAGATGGCGCAGACGCGTTTGAGCTCACCGGTTCAGCTCTGCAGGCTCCAGTCTCATCAGACCGACCCTTCCGCTTCAACTGCTCCGTTGCAGAAGCAACTCCATTCAAAGCTCTTTGGCATGCACTAGTCAAATGCTTCTCAGGTGGCATGTCTCATTTCAATACAGGGCTGCTGCCAAATGTAAACGAGCATGCCGCATTGCGTGTATATAACAGGCTGGTGAAATCATTGAGCCCCAATATTGCATATAAAGCTTGCGGCGCTGAGCTTTGGCCTGCCCGGCCAGGTTGATGTGCTGGAGCCAGTTGCCACCGCAAGGTTGATCCTCCGGCCAGGCCGGCGTGCGCAGGCGTGTGCGGAGAATCTTTCTGAAGTAAGGCGAAGAGCACCGCCCGGACTGCCAGCAGCTTTTCTCAATGAACCCGGGATCGGTGGTTCAGTTATTTGGTACCGTGCTGCAATGCTCTGTTTTCATTGGGCCTTGCTGCTTTGGCCCGAGGTACACCATTCCCCTGGAGCCCTCCAACTCCTTTGAGGGTTCTAGCCCCGCAGCCTCGCCGCCGGCAGGCGAGGCTGCCACGAACTTCAGGTCAGGGCATGCCATGGTGGTTCAGACAGGCGGCGGAAACGATATGTACGTCACCATCGCGGTCAGCCCGGATGAGTCCCAAGAGGCTTGGAGGGGGTCTTGCGCTTTGTGGAAAGCTTTCTGTGTTCAGGGCGCGAAGGTGGAGGAGAAGGTGGACACGGCTGGAGCAGAGGCCGCTGATGATACAGGCTGGGCCTGACAGATTGAGATGATTCCTACAAGCTCGCACGGCGCTGCTGGCAGGTGCGACTTCCTCCAAGTCACGGATTGGCCAGGCCGGTCCGCGCTTCTTTTTCCCAGAGCCTTCCTCCAAGTTGCGCCTGAGGCAAGCGCAGCCCGCGAGTACTTGGACAAACACAACTTGGTGGAGTTCACTCAGCTCTTAGTTCAGAGCGCCGCACGGTTCGCAAGAGAAGTCGCACCCTTGCGTGGCATTGGTGCGCCCACCTGGGACCTGCCTCGTCATTTTTTGCCGTCCCAGGTCATCAAAGAACAACCTGAGCAGCCTTATGAGTTCATGGCTCGACAGCTCCCTGCCTACAATACAATATAATACATATGTAGCTCCGTGCAGTGCATACAGCCGCTGAGGTTCTTCTTCCCTGAGCCGGAGCCCAGGCCAAGGCCTCCACCCATGGAGGAGGACAAAGGCCATCGGACTCAGTTGCCAGCTTTCAGCTTGGTTTTGTCGCGAGAGCACGTTGTTTTCGTATCGATGGCAATGTTTTCTCGCACGGGGCCATGTTACATGTTTTAGTGCCTTGAGATTGTTTCGCCAGGCTTGGCCATGTTTGGGGCCACCATGGCAACCATTGGCGCCCATCGGGCTGAGACGCCGTCACGGCGAGGAACTCAGAAGCTTAGGGTGGCCTTACAAGCCCTGGGCATTTCAAACCGACTGGGCCTGGACTCAGCCCGCTCTGGCCGCAACTTCTTGGCATTCACAGTGTTCCCATTTGGCATGGCAACCTGCCCTGCGGCCTGTTCCTGTGTTTCTCGGACACCACATACATCTCAAGGCTTGACTGCCCTGCGTGCCTCATTTTGTGGCCCTCAGGCCATGAACACCACGGAGTAATTCACATCGAGCTGATTTCTTGCTCCGGACTACCAATAGCTTTTGGATGCATGCAGTGCAACAAGGCAGCAAGCTCTGGGCCACATGGGGCCATGTGTCTTGATCGCACCTCTGACTTTGTTGTGCACTTTTTTTGCAACTTGCACCAAGTGGATACAGGCCATGTGGTTTCTGTAGCAGCCTGCCCCTGTTCTTGCGCCTCTGCCTGGGAAACCATGGGTCCGAGGGACCTCTTGCAAAGGTTTCACCGACCGGCAAATTCTGCTTTCCCAGCTGCACTCACAGAAGAAACGCTGTCAGCTGCAAGTCGCAAGGCTGAGAAAGCATGGCTGAACTGCAGCGGGGCGCGTAGTGCCTTGCTCTCCCTTTGTTAAGCCAGCCACCTGTAGAAGCTGCGCTCGCCGCAGCTAGAGACACCGGGTCCGTTAAAAGTCCATATTTGAGAGGTCTCGAAGTGTATTTTGCGGGTGTTTTTGCTGTATGCCACCACTTTGAGGCCGTTTTTTTTTTTTTTTTTTTTTTTTTTTTTTTCCGGATTTGATTTTGATGGACCCGGAGACGGATCGGATCAGCAATGCAAAAAGTCCGAGTTACACTTTTGCTTCGAACTTTTTTGGACTTAAGTTTCAGCTAATGCTTGGTGTGGACCAGGCAAACGGGGAGAAAGGTGTTCGTGACTGAGCTGACTCTCCTGCATGGATTGTGCAAGGTGGATTAATACTCCAACCTATTTTGATGCCAGAGAGTCTGTTGGCAACTCCGTGTGAAGAACGCCCAAGCCAAGTTGCCCCGCTTCAAGCTGAAGGATGCATTGCGCTCAGTTGCCTTTGCAAACCGCTTTTCCTGGCGAGTGAGCTCAGGTGCTGCTGCTTTTCTTCGGGCCCCACTGCCAGCAGATCACCGAGCAGCTCTTCAAGGAGGTGCCGTGGCAGTGCCCGTCCGGGGAGCAAACCTCGGCTGTTTTACGCTAGGCGGGCGCAAAGGATGCGCTGGGACCTCAATGGTCAGCACTCCGTGCACGTGGGCTATCAGGTCACCGAAGTTCTAAATTTGTAGCCTTTGCTGCAAATTTGGCAGGTGCATGCATGCAGAACGGTTGGCCCAGCAGAAGTTGATTCCTTTTTGAGTAGCTGCGCCCCGTCATGTCCAATTGTGCCGAGCACCTAGAAGAGCCGGCGCACTCCCCAACAGGCTATGCCACACCCAGTGATCCTGGCTCGCCAGGAGGATACCCTTCAATGCATCACCATTCGCAGTACCAGCAGTGGAGTTGGCGTACAGATGCGCCGGAGTTCACACCTGGTACCACGAATGCCACCAACACGGCCTCGATGATGAGCAGCAGCACCGGCAATGGCAATGGCAACAACCCACAAATGATGGACAATACAGTATTCTTTACACCGTTCCCTGGATGGTTTATGGCACCCGGCGACATGTCCATGCAGAGCATGGGTGACAATGGCAATTTTGAGACGCAAGAGCAGACTGTCACTCAGGTTCCAGAAGTTGCCGAAATGGAGGCAAAGGTTTCCAAGATGCAGCAGGAGATGGCGCAGCTGCGTCGCATGTACACTCTGGAGCGCCGTCTGAGGACAATTCAGATGGAGTCCTACCGGCGGGTTTTGGAGACATACTTCGTGCCGCGGGAAGACGCAGAGCAGCTGGTTCGACGGCTACAAGCGGAAGCGGCCATGAGTCTTTGCCAGACTTAGCTGACCTTTTTTCCCTTTTTGGGATCTTTTGGCTTTGCTGCATTTTCCCTTTTAACCAGCAAAAAGGGCAACGTTTGCCCAGAGTCCCAGTCTGACCGAGGAATGACGGTTATTTGCAGATGGAGGCGCAGAATGCTGGGGGAATGGACTTGGGGGAGGAGAGCCAGATCTGGCAAAGCCAGGCGCACACCCCCGTAGAGTCACCTGACAGCAGCACAACAGCAAATGCAGACGGAAAGGCCAGCTCGGGCGCAACATCGGGGACCTCCATCGCCTCTGCTTTGCAGGCCATGTTCCCCCATGCCACCGTGCGCACCAGCTTCCAAGATGCTCAGCAGGAGGAGGCTTCAGATCAGAAGGCAGACCGGTTGTCCGTGCTCATGGAGAATTTGCGCGAGAGGTTGGGCAAGGCTCCAAGTTCGGAAGAGACTGGTGGTAGCGCTGGTCCTGGTGCAAAGAATGATGAAGAAGAGGTTCATGAATATGTGAGCCGCCTGGAGCGGATGGTTAGCAGCACCGTGGATGAACGTGCCAAGACCTCCCTGTTGAGCCTCCCAGCAAAAGATGGCAAAGAAGCATTGAGAAAAGTAGAGGAGATCATCAACCAGCAGGGTGGCTCGTGTCGGCATCTGTCATCCATTTTGCAGTCCGTGTGCCGCAAGCTCGACAAGCGCAGGCAGTGAGGGACTTTTGCAATCTGGACCTTCAGAGTCTTCAAGTTTGGTCATACAGACGCGGCGGGCAAGTGAGCCGATGAGTCGGCGAGCCGAGTTGGTGAGTTGATGAGTATGAAGCGCAGTCACAGGACCGCACAATTTAAGTTGCGCTGCTGAAAAACAACGCTTGAGAGAGGCTGGTGCAAAAGCTGTTGCAACACATTGAATCGCTGTGGCTTGCAAGATGGCTCCCCCCTGCCCAGGCAAAGTCTCATGCCCTTGAGCGAGGTCTTGCTGTGGGCGCGTTGTGGGCTTGGATAACTGCCTTTTTTGGATTGAAGACATTGCCTGACAAGCCTTTTGGGATGCGCGAGTCTCTGAGGCCGGCAAAGAGAGCAAGAAATCAAGGCATGGCCACATAGCTGACACGCAAGCTATACAATCGCGTCAAGATGCAGGTGTTCCGGCAAAAGTTCCAGATGATCGACTCCAACCACAATGAACGCTTGGCTCTGAGTGGGAGCCGTTGGAGAGACACCATGCGACAACAGCGAGAAGTTGAGTGGGCTGACTTCTTCTCATCTGCGCGTGCAGGAATCGAACTCTGCGAGCTGAGCAAGCTTGTTGGATTCTGGGCTGCATTGGGCTGCATTGGCTGCATGGATGTAGACTAGGCATAGTTTGCACTCGTGGCTTCCAAGCAGCAGCGCAGGATATTTGGGCTTCACCGTGGGCGAGGCCACTCCAAGTCTTGTTGCCTTAGGCAGCAACAGGCGTGAAACAAACAATCAACCAGGCGGAACAGATCATATACGGATTGCATTTGTAATTTGAGAACATTGGCGGCTGAGCTTTTGACCTCGGGCAGGGTAAGCTCATAGCTGGGCCAGGCGACAGTGCAAGAGCTGCTGCTGGAGAGCGAAGACGATTTGTTTGGTGGCCGGAAGGAGCGGGTGGCTCTTTGTGTAGGGGAGCAAAACGAGAGATGCGTTTGAAGCACAGTGCATCACGCGGTTTGAGGGGCCAACGGGTAAGCTGCTGCATGTGACCCATGAGGACGGGGTGCTGGACTTTGACGAGTTTGTCCGCGGCAGTGGCTGGATTGGAGTCCATGAGGGTTGAGATGGACTGAGGTCAACTTCATGGTGAAGCTCCAGTCGAGGGAAGGATTCAGCATCGCTGCAGCCTCAGCTTGCCTGCCCGCAACTCGCAACCCCCATGCGGCCCACTGCCAGGCAGAGGTGAAAAGATTCAAGGAGGTTTTTGACCGCTTTGACGACAACGGAAATGCTGAGGCCAGGCACAGGGGCTTCTTCGCGGCTTGCACCATTTTCACCTGAGGTTGAAGTTCTGGAGCTGGCTGACGTGATGAGGCAAGTTAATCCGGCCTTGGTTTCTATGGTTACTCGGTGCTGACGGCCTCAGGTACCTGGGCAATAACGTGAAGCTTGATGACCTGCACATCCTCATTAGCCAGGCAGTGCGCCAACGGCTTCGCGCAACAAAGTCATGCCATGAGGATATCTGGGGTTGACAGCAACTGGGTCTTCAGATTGATGCCCTGATGAATCTCTGAAACGCTTGGCAGGTGGATTTCAATGGGAGTGGGGCGCTAGAGTTCCAAGAATTTCTGCGGCTCATGTCGAGGACTCAGACGAGCCAAAGGCTTTTAGCCCGGTGCTGCTTTGTCTTCAACAAAGCGTATGAGGCGAATCCACCGTGAGGAGGAGGTCAAACAGAGTCTTGGCCTGGATATCATGCAGTTTCACGTAGATACGTGCAGTATCCAGTATTCGTGGAGAATCATGCTGTACCAACCTGCTTTGAGCTTGAACGTGTCTTGCTTTGATTGTTGGTCCGAGGATTCAACAAATCTACAACCAATTCATGGATGAGTCGACCGGGCCTCGGACTTTCACCAAAACGCGCATGAATCAACGTCTGCCTGTGCCTGTGTGTGTGTGTTTGCGAGTGCGTGCGTGTGTGCGTGCCAGCTGTTTGCGCGAGTGCAAGTTGGTTGCGTGCATGCGTGGGTGAGTGAGTGCCTGGGTGGAGTGGAGTGGAGCGGAGCGGAGCGGAGTGGAAGCGTATCTTAGGCCTTGCGTCTATCAATCAATGACCCCCCTTCGTGACCAGCACTTGCCGGGGGGGGTTACTTGGTTGGGGCTGTTGTTCCAGATTGATTGTGGACAGAGTCACTGCCCATTTTTGGAAGAGAAACTATTAGTTGTGGGCAGAGCTACCATGAATTTTGGGCAGAGTCGCTACCATTTTTTGGCAGAACCACTACATGAGTCACGGTCAAAATATCCGTAGATCACTTTAGTAAAGGGTCGGCATAAAATTGCAGAAAGCCTCGCAAAACGATAGGGCCCCTACCAAAAACGATTACAAAACAACTTGCTTTGACGAACACCTGACGGTGGCTTACAGGTGTTTTCGGCAAAGTTGCGGCGAAGCTGACAAGTTTGTTTGACCACGGGTCAAGAATCAGGGTGCGTCACCTCTATTATTGGAGTCCGAACGCTTCTTTCAGAATTAATACCAATTTGGAGTCAAATTGGTATAACATTGGCACAAATTGGCATAGGATCTGGCCCCGCAAGATTGGTATGAAATCTGCCAACTCCCAATGGCACGGCCACATTTTTTTTTAAAAGTTTTCGCAACCCCAGGTTTCATGCCAAAATTTCCAAAATTGGTACGAATTCCGAGCCCTTTGTCTGGAGATCATTTCTGGAAAATTGCGAACCAAGTTGTATACGATTGGAACTGTCTTTGGTATACGCTTTGTATAGCGTTGATATTGCTTTTGGCAGAACAATGGTATAGCATTTGTACAAAGCATGTAATATTTATACAACATTGGCATAATATTTGGCATGGACTTGGTCTGAAATTGGAATTATTTTGGCCCAAAGAGTTTTGAAGTGTATCCCATTTCGTGTTTTTTTGCATCAATCTAGTTTTGGAGCAACCCTGCATGAACTGCGGGTTTGTAGATGAGTCGTGCACATTTTTTTTTTTGAAGGAAAGAGCCCAGTGGTTCCCTGTGTGCACGCAAGAATGTCTAGTTGCATGGCAGAAAGTTTCGGAGGCCTCTTGTCACTGCCAAGGATGCAAGCAATGCCCAAGGCTTCGGCTTGCTTATGCAGCGCTTGCCCATCTAGATCAGTCAGCTGAGTGTGGCCTTATTTGTTGGTGCCCGTCTAAATTCCTTTGTCACTAGCACATGAGCTGACAGCGCTTCGCCAGGCAGCTCTGCCGGGGGCAATGTCCGCTCTTGGCTTCTCAGGCCGACTTGGGCTGAATTGTGGAGTTGTCTTGGCAAGCTCTGCGCGTTGGGTGATGCATGCTGTCTTTTTTTTTACCCGGCTTCGTCTGCCCTAGAGCCATTTGAGCTCATGGAGGGTTGAGAGGAGGGCCTGTTGAGCCTTCGATACGGCTGGACAATGCGATTTGGGAGCCTCCTGGAATCCAGGGTGGCTGAGGTGCCCCAGGGCGGATCCCTGGGTGATTCGTCTTTGCCTGTCAGACACAGGAGCGCCAACGTCAGCCGGAACAGTCGGTGGATGATGGCAGTTTCTAACAGTTTGGCGCTGGTGACTTGGGCAGAGAGAGCGCCTATCAGCTTAAGAGAGTCGTGGGCATCGCTTATCAAGCCTCAGTTGCGCAGGTTGACCTGATGAGACATTTGGTGATCATTCTGCTAGGCCTGAGCGCGTTTGGCAGAGCTTTTCGCAGTGGAGAGCGGCCCTTGTTTGACAGGCCTGGGCTGCCTCGCGGACGACCTTGTGAGGCTCTGGGAAACTTGTATGACCGCATTGCACAGCGCATGGCAAGGCGAGAGTGGCACGATCTCCTGGAATGGCTGGTGAGCCAAGGCGCAAGCCATTTGTTTTGTTTGGTCCTTGCGCCTTGGTAGACGCCAGGCGGATACGTACATCCAGGCTTGCAGCTTGGTGCGGTCACGCACGGTGGCATTGCTATGGCGGGCGTCACTACTGGCACAGCCTTGGCAGAGGGCGACGTGGTCATCGAGCTGCCACGGAACTCGCTGCTGGATCTGGAGCTTCTGGGCTCCCTGCCCGAGGATGGGTTACGAAAGCGCAAAGATGAAGGTGCAAACACGCAGACATTTCATTATTTTGTGGGTAAGGGCAGCCCCTCTACGGAGGGCGAAGGCATGCAAGGCCCAGGGCACTAGACATGCTGTTGCCTGAGTACACGGCACTGGCCTCGACGGTGCCGAATTGCTCCCTTTCTCACGGCATGCACCGCTCGCTGCGAACCCTCAAGCTGCTGACTATTCTGGCGGCAGAGAGGGCAAAGGGTCCAGGGTGAAAAGTTTGCTCTCTTTTTCTGTGCTTCTATTCCCCTTCTGGCCGAAGAGAGCTCGTTCTGCGCCACCGCAATTTATGGCCCCTGAGGTGCTGCATCGCAATTCTCAGCTTACTTGAGGATGCTGCCCACCAAGGAAGATCTGCATGAAAGCGACCTGTACTACGCAGGCAGGGCTTGTTCTGACTGACAGCATGTGTCGCGGCCCCGACCTTCAGGAGAGCACACCCTGAGGGATTTCCAGTCACTTCCCGTGGTGAACTTTTGGCATCGGATCCAACGGGAGCATTACCAGGAGTTCGCCCCTGGGACATGTGTTGTCTCTGAGTGGAGCCCCAACATAGGGTGGCCTGCAAACCCAACAAACCCAAAATACACACACATATATATATATATATATACATATATGTATGTACCATGAGACCCGCGCCATGTTGGGACTTCCATGTGGGACTGGGGCTCGCCTCTAAGGAGAGATGCTTTGAGGTGCTGAAGGTACAGCTGCTCACCGCGGTCGACTGGCAGGAGAGGGGGCTGAGAGAGTGGGCATCATTTTGCTCCATGGCTTCCTCCTTCTTTGGTTGATGGGGCAACGTAATCATGGTCGAAGATGTGATGCCAAGCTGCAAGCAGAAGGAGGTGGAGTTGATGCTCCGCATCCACCGTAGCCGCCCCTTGATGTGAGAAGGGTGGGAAATGCTTGGTGCATTGGTGACCGTGAGCGGTTAAGGCTACTTCACCATCTCGGAGCCATTCAATCTGGAGTTCCTGGGACCTGTGGCTGACTCGGTGCCTGGGACATTGAAGTGTCAGGTCTGTGTAGGGCACTTGGCTTGGGCCTTCCTGAGAATCGATTGAGGTAAACACTGGCACATCTGCAGAGCAGAATGTGAAGGTCGTGCTGGCTGTTGGCGACCTTTCCCGGAACATGACCTTGCAGTTTGTGGTTTCGAAAGATATCCGTGCGGGAGAGGAATTGATATCAAGCTACTTCACTGGTTTGGACAACGAGGACCTCACGTTTGTATTGATTGATTGTCGGATTGGGTTGGGATTGATCGGATTGATTGACACTGGCTGGCTGACCGACGGGCGGATGGACGGACGGACCAACCAACGGACGGACGGGGCCGACCTACCGAGCGACCGACCGACCGACCGACTCAGACTGACAGACTGACAGGCTGATTGATGCATAGATTGACTCACTGATTGATCGTTGTTCAAGCCAAAAGGTAAAAAAAAGGTCAAGCGCCACAGCACTATTTTTTTGCTTTGGCTGATTAAGGCTTGCAAGATCCTTCTTTAGATCATAGGATCTTGCCAAATCCCCATCCCCAACCCTCCCCAGCACGGATTTGGGTCATCCCACATGCTTCAGCTGAAGCGAGCCCCCACCCTCGGTTCTTTGGGGCCGTCTACATGTGTCCAGCGGAGTCGGTGTTCACGCTTGCAGTGCCACTGCGCAAGGGCCTATGCCGCTCCATGAGCTATTCCAGCACCGTTGTCAAGCTCGGGGTCTAAATCGCGTGCGAGTGATTTGTAACTCTGGACACTTGAGCTTGTTTGGAGTGAGTGGCCAACTATGTAGGCCAAAATATTGCCCATTGTTTGGAAATTGGGGTCAATCATGGGCAGCAGAGCTTGGTTGTAAACGCTTCGCGCTGCCATCCTTGGCAGGGAGCTATTTGATTTAGAGGCTTCCCTTGATCTCCGTTCCCATTCCCAGAAGCTGGGCAGCTGGCGAAAACTCTCAGGCCTAGCCATGCGTGACAGCATCAGCCGTAGTCCAACTAACCCAAGGGAAGGGGGTGGGTCACATTCCAATGGGCACAAAATGCCACAAGGGCGACCTAACCTCCCACTAGCAACGTTGCAGTGATCCGTGTGGTCAGCCTTCCGCAGGACATTTTCTTCAGATGGAACATGTATCTGGAGGGCAGCGAGATTGATTTGGATGCCTCTGCAGCTGCGCCTGACTCAGCCCTTGCAGGCTCTTGACAGCGTTGCGACATTATGTCAGCTTTTTGACTGTCTTTATCTGTGCATTTTAAAGTCCTTTCTCAGCTAGAGTTGATCCGTGGGAAGCTTTCGACAGCAGCAGGGGATGCATTTATTTGCCTTTTGTTCCTTGATTGTACTGGCACGTTGTGTTTTTCTCCGCTTTGCTCCCATAACTGGCCACGGAGGGCATCCATCACTGGGTGTTGCTCAGCCGGGTGGCATGCACGGTATCGTGATTTGGACGAACCCATGCAACGATGTGACCCACTCGAGCCAGACATTCATTGGTCCTAGGCAGCCGCCTGCATAGATTTGGACACTTGGAAGCAAGCTGCGTGCAGGCGAGACGTTGTGGCGGATGGGCTCGGATGGGCTGTTTTTCTCAGGATTTGCGGCGAGTGTGTCTGGAAGCATTGGAACCGAGCTCTCTCCCAGTGCCTAGGCAGGAGGTTGAGAGAAGAACAATAGTGAAATAGCGAGCTTCATGGTACAGATCTTGCCGCAGGTGCAATGCCGCTACTTTGAGGAGGGAGCAGGGTATGATGCGCTGCTCTCTTGCCCGCCTTGCGTATGAGTTGTGTGCCTGGGCTGCAGCACTGCAGTGCCGCTGCTCAAACTTCTCGAATGTGCCGGCATCTCTAGGTGCACAAGGCTGGCTTGGGGCAACCTTGGCTGGCCCTGCCCCCCAGGGACCGAAAGGTGTCTTGGCGGCGGCGGTTGCCGTGGGAGCAGAGGCCACATGGGCTGTGTGCCGAGGCGCGAGAATAGCTGGCTATTTGGTTATGTTCTCCATCATTCTGAGGAATCGAGGTGGGCTGCTGCTTGTGTTTGAGACATCCCCCTCATCGTGATTTGGGATCAGTGATGTACTTTGTAGCGGTAGCCGATGGGTTCATGTGTTGCAGGTTTTTGCTGACATGATCGCAAACCACTCCCCACAGGATCATTGGATGCTCTTTCGCCAATGCAGGCGACCGCGCTGGAGCAAAGGCAGCACTGCAAGATCTTTTTACGAGAGCTGAGCAGGGACTGGAAGCAGAGTCGCTGGGCGATGCCCTCCTACAGATGGCGGAGTGGCTAGTGGAAGAGAGACAGCTTGAGCAAGCGGAAGAGCATATCAGACAAGCTTTGAAGCTTCGGGAGGGTGCCGTAGCCCACTTCAAGCTGGGCATCTTGACATATCTTGACATATCTTGACCTTGTGAGCTCCTCGTGTTCCCTTGCTTTGGGTTGCCACAGCTGAGGCACGGTTCTTTTTGCCCGGGGCGATTACCTCCATGCCCTTCGAAGCCTGCAGGCGAGTCTCCAGATGCCCCGGCCTCAAGCTTTCCTTCAGGTGTAGCCCGGCCACCTGCGTTCCTTCCTGCTATGTCTGTTTTCCTAGGAGTGCGGGCGGTACTCCGCTCCACGAAGAGTGTAGCAAGCTGATCTTGAAGAGCAAGGAAGCCTTGGGCCTGGGCCATGTGCGAGGCCCGGGCCAATACATGTGAGACCACTCGCTAGTTCAGAGAATTGATGCCCCCTGCGAGGCACTGCACTCCATCCTGAGTTTGGCAGCCATCCTGAAATCTGAACATGTTTGCCAGAAGTTGCAGCTTGAGCCATGCGAATCTTGACGCTTCGGGGGGTCTATGCAGCTTTGTGCTGCAGACCTGAAGCTTTTCCGAGAACGCAAAAGGACAGGCCCTACCTTGCAAGCTCTGCGACGACTGGCCGCGCTGCGGGACGCCAATATGCTGACAACATGACAGCGGAGCAGATGAGGATGAGGTGAGCACAGCGCTTGGCAACACATCAAGCTGAAGGAGATGCTGCACGGGAGACAAGCTGCCAGCTTGAGGGCCAGCGTTTGCAGAAGATGCTGGTACGTGCTGAGTTTGGGAGCCAAAGAAAAGAGCTCCTGCAATGCCAAGCGTCAGAGCTGCATATATGGTCCGAGCAGTACATGACAATGCTACCGTGCTAGGCGACTCCGTGTCTCTGACGAAGATGCGTGCCAAGGACAGATGAATTGATCCATTGTTAAAAAGCAAACATGTGACACGTGCAGGTCACGAACCTCTCCCGCTCGGTTTTCCTTTGCAAACAACTATCTAGGTGTTCTTCAATCATACTTATTCGGCCTTTCTGGTTCCACGACGATCCTTGCGGCGGATGAGCCTGGTTGGACCCTCATGGGAATCCCAATTCATCTCTGTAAACCTGAAGCCCAACAGTTAGGACCGTGCATAATGGTATTTCTTAGTTAAATGGTACACAGCCTGCGTCTATGCATGCGCTGCTGCTTCGGCATAGGCTGGCCCCCAACTGAACATTGCCATTCGTCTGTGGCCCCGCTGGCCTTCGGCCTTCTCGTTTTCCAACGTTTCCAAACTGCCGCACTTCATTTCTGCATTGCTTCATGGCTTCATGGCTTCATGGCTACTTGTGTAGCACAATGCCGCCCAATCTCAAGATTGGCTCAGATTTCCCCCTCGTTGCTGTTGATGTTTTCCGCCCACCAAACTCTGTCCGCTGCAGCCCTCCTGTCATCCGAGACAGGCTTCAGGCCGGCGGCGGTCGCTTCAAGTAGAAGCTGCAGGACGTTTGGAGGACAGATTGCATAGTCCGCAGATAGAAGAGAGAGAGAGAGAGAGAGACATGGGAAAACGATTGCACACATAATTTTGTATTCACTCTACGGAGACATGACATGTTGTAAGAGCCTGCCAGGATGCAGGCGATGCCATCTCCTTCGAAGGGTGGGGCGTACAGTTGCCAAAGCCCTGCTTTTTGAGCTCTTGACCGCACATTTGCCCACCTGTGACCCAAAGCCTTCAACCTCGACCCCGACCTGAGCCCCAAGTGATGGCAACTTGGAACCCGCAAGTGGTGTTTGCCCATACGGATGAGGTTTTTGCAGTGGGTGGACGACCACCGCGCAGTGAAGGTACGCGGCTCTGTATCCAGCTGCCCTGCTGACGCCGAAACCCGTGCCGATTGCGCGTGAGGTGACGGAGCAGCGCCGATGTGCTGCGTGGGAAGCTGAAAGGTTAGAGTCGGTTAGAGTCACTGGGTGGTTGCTGGTTGCCTTGCAACGATTAGCGGTTTTTGTTCCATGCCGATGTCTTCCTGAAAGGTTCAGCAGCGCAGAGCTCGACTCCTTCCGCTTGGTATTTGCCGTCCTCGGCTTGGCCTGGCAACATGCGCGGGTTGAGCGGGGGACGCCCAGGAGCTTGACGCGCAAGGCAGCGGAGTTCTGGACATCAAGCAGATAGGAGAGGGTTGCGGTTCTATCAGCGCATCTGCTTTCAAGTGCTATCGGAAGAAGGACCCTTGTTCGAGAAGCTGGGGCTGCCATCGTTGACGACAGCGGAGGCGTGCTTGCCCTTACCCTGCTGTGGAAACTTTGGTGAGCCCATCGACCCTGCTTGTGGTTTGCTCATCTTTTTTTTGATCAGTTACCCCGTGAATATGACTTTGTTGCATTTCGGCAGGCTCGCAACACCGCACTCTCGGATTTGGAGAAAGCCAGAAGCACAGCCCGTGGCTTAGTTGCGCTCTTCATACCTTCAGATTCTCATCGAGTTTGTGCAAATCGCGGCTCGATACAAACTTGCCAACCTGCTCCAGGCTGCTGAGTGTGGAGTGTCAGACACCGGATCAAAAGGTGAAGGCCGCAAAACTTTTTACAGCATGGGGTGGCAGAGGCAGTGCGGTTGGGGCCTCTACTCGTCAGGTGTCAACTTCTGGGTGCTGGTGCAATTGCTGCGCATCCAGCCCCAAACCCAGAAGCAGAAGCTCGCACAACATGGATTCTTAGATGCTGCTCGTACGTGAGGTTCAGTCGGGACGACGGCAGGGCATTCGCCTCAAGTTGCTTCCCCGTTGCTTTGGCCATGGCGACGAGCTGAAGCCCATGAGCTTAGAACGTTGGCCAAGGTCGTGGAACGGGAGGCGCAAGCAGTCAGCGAAACTTCGTCCATGCCTTGGCTAGTGGAAGCGAACACATCGAACCAACGCATTCCCCTTCCGCATCTACATGGGCGACATCGACGGAGGTTTTAATTGGACCATTCGCAGTTTTGAGCTGGGACGATACCGCTAGATGTCCGCAGTCAGAAAGAAACCTCTCAACTGTCGAAGGAAGCATTGAAGCAGCTTCACACCCGAATCATAATCTTTACCAACGAGATCAATGAGCAGAAACTGAGTTGTCTCCAATCTAGGTGAGCTGCTGGACACCGTCCGCGCAAACCTATTTTGACAACGTGTGTGTGTGGCTTTAAATAATCTTAAATGTTCCCGGCCGGCCAGGAGAGCAAAGCAACTTGTGGAAACGGAGTGCTTTGCGCGTGAAGGATGGGTGCACGGTAGGGCGGTCAAGTGTAGCAGGTCAGAAGCGTGGTATTGAGCCACGGCAGAGTGTGAAGGCAGGCAGGAGCAGCACTCCCTGTCAGCCGCCCCCTCGCGGCTTGTTTGTCGAGCGCGCGCACGCATTTCCAGCACGGGTATACCGCGTGTTTTTGCTTGGCAATGCATGGGGCTGCTGCTCGGTGGCTGAGTTGGCAGGGATTGTGGTCGTGCGGCAGGCAGGCAAGAAGACATTCCAGTGTGGAATCAGGCCAAGTATCTTTCCTTTCATCTTCAAACGCAATAAGGACCGTTTCCGTGCACGAGTGTGGCTGCTGCAACAAGACCTATTGTCAACACTTGACCCTATTGTTAGGTACAGTATGGTTGTATGCTGCCTGATGCGTATATTGAAGTTTTGCATTGTTGTTGCTTGGCACTTGTTTCTGCTTTTGCTTGTTCTCTTTGTCTCCTCTCTCCTTGTCTCTCTTTCTTGCTCTTTCTCTGCTTTTCGTTTTGAGGATTTTTGTATTTTCGCACTTGTCTTTCTCTATTTTTGCTCCGCTCCTCCTTTTCATTTTTCTCTTTTCCTCTTTTTCTCTTTTTCATTTTCTATTTTTCATGTTTTTTTTTCTCCTTTCTCCCTTTCCCCAATACCTCTTTTCTTCTTTTCTCTCTTTTATCTCTTTTATCTCTTTTGTCTCTTTGTCTCTTTTTCATTTTTTTTCTTTCTCTTTCTCGTTTCACCCCCCCCCCCCCCCCGTGCCCTTTTTCTTTTCTATGCTTCTCTTTTCTTTCGTTTTCTTTTCCTCTTTTCGTCTCTTTCTCTTTCTCTGTCACTTTGACTTTCTTTTTTCTTTAATGTGCTATCTTTTACTTGCTCTTTCTCTTTCTCTCTGCTGGCTTGCCTATTTTCCGGTACTGGGTTGTGCAGCATTCTTGAAAGCCGAGCTTGCCAAGGTTTTCGCAGGCAGAAGTCGATAGCTTCAGAGAAAGCTTCGTATCCTGGTTCGAGCACCAGGCGATGCAATTCGCCTTGACGCGTTGGTGTTCTAATTGAGTCGCATCATGGCCAGAGCTTCAGACTTTGTCAACCTTTGTGGGACCCCAAGGTGAACGCTTCGACAACTCAAAGTCAGGCGTGTGCTTTGCCGGCTTGCCCTGGGCCAATGTGACTGACATTCATGAGATAGTGAAAGGTATATAGGTGCAGCAAACGTACTGACATGGATGAGGTTTTCTCACCTCTCCACAGCGATTGTGATGTGGCCATGCTTGGCATTGCAGTCGCACACCGCATCTTGCAACATCCCAACGTCTTCCGTCGCAGGAGAAGGCTACCCAAAGGGTCAAGGAGCTGACGAAGGACACCCAAAGGTTTCTGCTGAGGTGTTTCGACTGCAGTTTCAGGAGACATTGGGCAGCCTGATTCGGTCCCTCGGTGTCAAAGTCAACGAGGACCATCGAAAGAGGCGAGCACCGCGCCTCTGATTCGTGGCGTTTTCTTTTTGGCGGCCAGACGGACGTAAACGCATTGTCAGAATGAGTGGAGTTGGCACTTCCAAGCAATGGCATTTGCTGTGCTGCCGTTGGCAGGCTGGACCGAAAGATTGAAGAGCCCCCGGCTGAGGGGCGTTGGGAAGCTGTGTCACAATTGGCATGGCAGACTGAAAAGAAGACCCGGTGCGGGCTTTTAATGTTTGTTAACCGGTCTTTGGCTTTCTCGTGGAAGTGCCTAAGGCTGAACCCAAATTCCATCATCGACTTCCCGGATTTCTTGCGGCCAACGCCTCAGTGAAGCAACCCCTAAACACTGATCTTCACTGCTTCCCGCAGCCAACCCTCAGGCTCATGCGATGGATGGTCACCGTGGACTTCGGTGGCATCAATCGGGGCTGAAGCTTGGATCGGATTGGATCCGTGCACTTCCGAGTCGGCAAGTGCGAAGCAGCTTTGCCACGGTCTCACATCGTTTTCAAAGTTCGATCAGTTAAAGGCAGGTTGGCTCTCACAACTTGGCCAAAGGCCAGATGAGAGAGCGAGGGAAAAGGCGTCTTGACGCGCGCAGCAGTCCCATCACGAGAAGCGTGTAGCTGTAATGAATTGGGAGCTGTCAGCCAGTCGGACTGTGCTTGCAATCAGCCCTGAAAAGCTCTGTAACACCATGCCGCTGAGAGAGAGCACAGCCAGCTGCCCAGATTACCTTCACTGGCCCAAGTGTAGTGCCGATGCTTGCTGGTTGAGGTGCGTGGCTTGATTGAAGCGAGGTGTTTCTGTTTCCTCCCTCTCGTCCCGCTGGTGCTTGCCAGGTCCGTCCTTATGGTACGCTTGTCCGCAGGCACGTTCAGAGCGAAGAGCAGCTTGACAGGAACTGCACCTCTGTCTTGCACGGATTGCGCAAACATGAAGACTTTGGCTGGGCTTGTCTGAGTGCATTGTGGCCCAGACAGCCAGCCGTGCCAGTAGTCTCCGAGCCATGTCTGAGTGCCACGAGCTTGCCGAGGTTGAAGAGGAGCCTCACCACTCGGGCTATGCCACGCCCAGTGATCCTGGCTCACCAAGCAGGTACCATGGAATGCATCACCATTCGCAGTACCAGCAGTGGAGTTGGCGTACAGACGCGCCAGAGTTTACCCCCGGTACCACGAATCCCAACACGGTCTCGATGATGAGCAGCAACGGCAACGGCAATAATGCACAGATGATGGACAACACTGTTTTCTTCGCGCCTTTCCCAGGATGGTTTATGCCAACAGGAGACATGTCAATGCAGAACATGGGGGAGAATGCGGGCAATTTTGAAGCGGAGGCCAACCAAGTTCCCGAAGTTGCCGAAATGGAAGCCAAGGTGGCGAGCATGCAGCAGGAGTTGGCGCAAGTGAGGCGCATGGCCAACATGGAGCGCCGGCTGCGGCAGATTCAAACGGAGTCCTACAGGCGCGTCTTGGAGACCTACTTTGTTCCACGTGAAGATGCCGAGCAGCTGGTGCGCAGGCTGCAGGCAGAAGCGGCCATGAGTCATTGACAGACTTAGCGAACCTTTTTACGCTGGGGTCTTTTGGGTTTCGGGCGGTCCTGCACTTCTCTTTTAATCAAAAGGCAAGTAAACCTTTACGGAGTCCAAGTCTCGCCGAGGAACGACGGCTACCTGCAGATGGAGGCGCAGAACACGCCAGGTGGTGTGGACCTGGGTGAGGAGAGCCAGATCTGGAGCCAAGTGCACACCCCAGCAGAGTCACCAGATAGCAGCACAACAGCCAGCGCAGACGGAAAGGCCAGCTCCGGCACAGCGTCCGGGACCTCCATCGCCTCTGCTTTGCAGGCCATGTTCCCCCATGCCACCGTGCGCACCAGCTTCGAGGAAGAGACCGCTGACATGCAGAAGGCAGATCGATTGTCCGTGTTGATGGACAACTTGCGCGAAAGGTTGGGCAAGGCACCGAGTCCGGAAGACGCGAACGCAAGCGGAACATGCCCCACTTCCAAATCCGAGGAGGAGGAGGTTCACGAGTATGTCAGTCGTCTCGAGCGCATGGTTAGCAGCACCGTGGATGATCGCGCTAAGAATTCCCTGATGAGCCTTTCACCGAAAGATGGCAAAGACGCCTTGCGGAAAGTGGAGGAGATCATCAACCAGCAGGGTGGCTCATGCCGCCACTTGTCATCCATTTTGCAGTCCGTGTGCCGCAAGCTCGACAAGCGCAGGATTTGAGGATATCCCGTTCCAAGAATGCCAGCCAGCTTTGACTGATGAACAAAGCCGTTGAAATGTATATACCCGGCGCGATCAGTAATTAAGAGCACACAAGTGATCAACTATTTGTCAAACTGGCGCCGAGGAAAATGCAATTTGATTGTATTTGCTCGAAGCTTGCGAGTTGGCGTTGGGGCAGAGAGTCATTTCATCATACAGTCTGCTCGCTTTGCATACTCAGGTGCAGCCTCGCATGGGCTGCCGCCTAGTCAATATGAGGGATACATGGGTTGAACTTGAGCTGCTGGTTGGAGGTAATTTGGGCGTGCATTTGTTTGGGCACATGTCTTGGGCTGCCTGCCTCCTGGCAGGCAGGCACTAAATGTTTGCCCGAAGCTCTCGTGGCTTTGTGCTGGATGTCTGTGGAGTTCCTAGCTGGTGTAATTCCACCGCCCCGAATGGATGCGTATGGCTGCCCCAGTGAGCAAGATGCAGCCGTGTCAGCATGGCCAATCCATGGCAAGCTTCAATTCCATCGCGAGAGCCCACCGGGAAAATGAGCTAAGCGTGCTGTGAGGCGAGTAAAGTGCTCTTGCCATGGCGCCGGGCCCCGCGGTTCTGTCTGCATTCGCAAGGCTCAAGCAATGGAAGGTGAGAGCAGCAGCCATGGCAGCCATTTTGTGCCATGAATACTGGGCTATCTTGTTGCAGGCAAGCGGTTGCTCAGAAGTCAAAGCGGGCTTTTCTCGCAGCGTATCCACCTTCAGCCTAAGAAAAGCGACTGCTCAGAAAAGCGACTGCGCAGCCTCCTGGTTGAGCAAATCCATCAGTCATGGCCTTTGCAAACCATGCGGGCCTCCCAGAGTCTTGCCACATTCTGACATATTCTGACTCCTGTGCATTGCTTGGGTCCCAGCTCGAGGCACGCCAAGCCTCTTCCTCCGCGCTGAGCTCGTTCGCAGCGTTGCTACCTTACCGAAAACTGGCACAGCTGCCACGCAGTTATGTCATTAGAATTCCGCCATGCTCAGGTTCTGCAGCTACATTGGGGTTTGTCACTTTGCAGCAGCCCCACTGGACTGCAGTCAGAGTGCATGTACTTCCCCCTGACACAGACGATTTCCCCACTAGATATCAAGGAGAACCAACCAGAATTCGGACGGTCCCAAAGACATGCCAGCCAAAATGGGCCGTGGGCTTGCAATCTCTCAGCCATGGGCGCAGCAAGAAGGACCTGGTACGTAACGCAAACTTCTCGCGCGCAGCCGATAAACTCATTGCCAGCGTTGAGTCAAGAATCACTTGCACATGAGCCAGCTTCGAGGGCTTACATCCGATACGGTTTGCTGCAGGCATTGCAGGGTTGCAGGACTTTTGCTTGTGCAAATGGCTGGGCGACACAGTAAAAGGTGACTAGGCTGCTGGAACTGTTGCCAGCGAACTTTTGCGGAGCGCCCTGTAGGGGCCAGACGCCATCCTGAGATAGCATTCCGCAATATTCCGCACACATGCAGCTTTAAAGGACTCTAAAGGACTTCGGTGCTTTGGGGCTGGGCTGACTTGGATGCCGGATGCAAGACGCGCCATCGCAGCCCGGCTACCCGACACACGCAGGCGCCGTCTTCGCTCACCCGTTTGAACCGCTGAAGCACCCGGCGAGGCGATGCCCACGGCGCCCTGCAAGCAGCAGTGGAACGCCTGGGTCGGGCGCATACCTTCGGTGAGCTGAATGCTTGCCGCCAGGAGACCGGGTCTGATGTGGGCTGGTAGTGGGCCAGTGGAGTCATTGAGCCATGAGCCAGCTGCGTGTTGCTCCAGGAGTGCCTCAGGCTTGCTGAGGAACTCAAAAATGCGGACGCCAGAGGCAATGACATGGCTGAGCAGCTTTTGGTCATCAACAAGGCAGGCTTGTTGCATTCGCGTGTGATATGTACTTCAATGTGTTGCACATGCATGGCCACGCATCCAGTAAAGCTATGTGTATCCTCTCCCCAGGTGCTTCAACAGGAATTGCAGCGTGCAAAGCTGCGTGCGGATTCTTTTGAAAAGTGCACTCGATGGCGGCTACGTTTCGCATGTGGCAAGGAGCGGGCTGTGATTTGACAGGTTCACCTGATAATTTCAGTGGGGCTAGAGCGAAGTGTAGCTGCATTGTGTTTCAAGCGCTTGTGTGCCTGCAGGTTATGCTCTCAGGTGCTTTTGAAAAAGTCTTGGAGCACAGCATTGCCAATGCCTGCGGTATCGAGCCACAGCGCGTGGTCGTGCTTCGCAGCAGCAGCGAAACTGGGGAAGTAGACATCACCTTCCAGTCCGAGAACGCCTTTGAGCTGATCAGCCAGGTGAAGCGTCAGCTTGATGACGCCTCGTCCCCCTTGCGCACAGGCAGTTTGGCGGAATTCGTGCCTCACCTGCTGCTGCTCAGCACAGTGTTGCCCTCTCAGCATTGCGTGTGGTCCCCGAGCTCGCTCGCCCCTGCGCCTGCACCCAGAGATCAGCGGGCCGCTGCAACTGGAAGCTTTCATTTGGATGACGACGGGCAAGTTCGCTCGTCAAGCCCAGAGGGCTCCGATGACGAGAGTGATGTGCGCAAGCGTCCAGAGTACTGGGGAGTTTATGTGAGTGACCTATCAGAGTTTCACAAGTGCATCCATGACGAGTTGCTGGCGTACTGCGAAGATCATCGCTTATGCTTTGACAAGGGCGAGTGCACCCACTTGTGCAAGCCAGCAATGGACTGCAAATGGGCTGACCACGCTGGCATCCATTTTCGGACGATCCACCCACATGAGCAGGCACCCAAGCTAGCGGCCAACATGCATTCCGTGCGTGCCTTAGTGTCCTCGGTCTGCGCGCAGCGCCTTTGAGCTCATAGCTTCGGTTTTGAGGTGGTTGGCAGATACGTCAAGCCTCAGACAAAGGATGCGGCCAAGTCCTGGGCGCTGATGAGGCCATTGGCGTTTTGCGTGTTCTTCCTCCTTTTTTTTTTTTTTTTGGGGGGGGGGGGGGAGGTTTTCCCGGGGAGTTCATTCACCACTTCAGATTTCAGTATCCTTTCAGTGACGTCAGCGTCCTTTGCATGCACATGCACAAACATGCACAAACACTTGAAATCCAAATCCAATAAACTTCAGAATCAATGGCATTGGATTTAACATTCGCAGCTGACTGACTGAGGCACCCGAACGGAGTCTTGGATTGCAATCTTCCTTCTGCACTACATGCGGGTTTGTCTCGGAATAGGGAACCCACAAAATTGAAACCAACTTCACACCAATGTTACAAGTGGTAGCACCATTCAAAAAGGCACAATGTGCAGAAGGATGGGGGTCCAACCATGTGGCACTGCGCGGTTTTGCTTGGGCCCCAAGGATTGCGGATAACGCACTTCATTACCCACACTTGGGAGGCCGGACCTGCACAGAATCGGCATGTTCGCCCATGTGCTGCCGGGCCAGCTTGCGCTGCTTCGCAGGAAGCCTTTGCAGACTTTGTGTCAAGCTTGGAGCGAGCATTGAGTCCGGATGACGCAGGAGCCTCAGCCAAGTGAGACTTGTGGAACATGTTGAATCTATGCCCCGTGCGCTCTGAGGTGGTTTGGGTTTGCAGCTTTGCCCTGGACCAGAGACGTGGCTGCACTTAGCCGTTTGTGTGGCTGCGTGTTGGGAATGCCGATGCCAGGAATGCCGACATTGGCCACCTCTTGAACGTGGAGCTGCTGAAGTCTCCGTTTGCGCTGGCCCTGCGTCGGGCATCCAAGCAGCTGGTGGTTTTGGACCAGATCCTCGGCGCAAGAAAACGCCCATGCTCTCCTGTCCCATTGCTTTGATTTCAGTGGTCTGCTTTTCCTTTTGCCCGTAGGGACTTGCGAGTTCCTCGGCGGTCATGGTGCGCATACGAGCGGCTCGGCTGAGTTGGGGTGGGGTATCCGTGAGCCGCTGAGCCGCTGCTGCTTAAGGCTTGCCCTGGCGACCCGCTTCTCCTTGCCTGCATTCTTGTGGCCTCACCCTCAATCTGACATCAACAAGCTCCAAGGGGATGTGCAGTCCCTGGACTTGCGAGATGCTGCCGCCAGCAAGCCTGAGGATCAGGACGATTTGTTTTGACCTTGTCCCAGATCGGCAGATGTTTGACGGGCTTCAGCAGCCGCATCTTTTCTGTCAGTGGATCAGGACAAGATTTGCCTTGATATCGAGAAGAACGAGGGCTTTGACGAACTGAACGGCAGGTACAGATCTCTTTTGCAGCTGACCTTGAACTTTTATTCTTCTGCAATGAGTGAGGCTGGCCCATGCTCGCATTTGCTGAAAGCATCGGCTTTTGCATCAGGCAAGTTGGGTTTGCACATCAGGTGGCTGACCTCTCACGACAGATCGAAGAAGCTATGCAGCAGAAGAATTCAGACCGCGAGGCGGGCAGGATGCGAAGCCACAGCCAACGCCCAGTCAGAGCTAGTGCAAGCCGGCTTTTGCCGCCCATTCTGGTACTTGTAGACAATCACTTTTGGCCAGGGCGGAAGAGCAGCCTGTAGTGTTTGTTGGCTCCAGCCCTTTTTCTGCAGCAAGGGCTCAAGCAACCTGCTCCTTTGTTCCAGCAAAAAGTCGCATCTCGCCATGCCGGCCACTCGATCCCAGCGAGCCATGGCCGCAGCGGCGGCCGGCGCAGCCGCGACCGTGTTGGCCCCGACCTTCGTGGCCCCCAGCACGGGGGCCACGGCAGGTGCGATGGCTATGGGCACCACGCCAGCCAAAGTCTCCCAGGCCTCGTCCGCACCCGGCGCTGTGGTTGGTGCCGGCGCAGCGGCCATGGTGGCAGCAGCCGCTGTTCGCCCGACCAAGCGAAGCGCCAAGAAGGTGGTGCGCATGGCCACAGCCACGGATGTGGATGTTGACACGGAGTGCATCAACGCCATCCGCTTCCTGGCCGTGGATGCCGTGAACAAGGCAAACAGCGGCCATCCTGGCGCCCCAATGGGACAAGCCCCGATTGGGTACCTGCTTTTTGCAGAGGAGATGCAGCACAACCCGCAAGACTCCAAGTGGGTGAACCGGGACCGCTTCGTGCTGTCTTCGGGCCACGGCTGCATGCTGCAGTATTCCCTGCTGCACCTGGCGGGCTACGAGAGTGTCTCCATGGATGACCTGAAGCAGTTCCGGCAGTGGGGCTCCAAGACCCCGGGCCACCCGGAGAACTTCGAGACGGACGGCATCGAGGTGACCACGGGACCTTTGGGCATGGGCATCTCGAACGCAGTGGGCCTGGCTGCTGCCGAGGCGCACCTTGCGGCAGTGTACAACAAACCGGACATGCCGTTGATTGATCACTACACCTACACAATTGCCGGTGACGGCTGCATGCAGGAGGGCATCTCCCATGAGGCCTGCGCCTATGCCGGCCACCTGGGCTTGGGCAAGCTGATCGCCTTCTACGACGACAACGGCATCACCATTGACGGGCATACGGACCTCTCCTTCACTGAGGATGTGGGGAAGCGCTTCGAGGCTTACGGCTGGCAGGTGCTGGAGGTGAAGGAGGGCAACACGGACGTGAGTGCCATCCGGAAGGCCATCAAGGAGGCCAAGGCCTGCACGGACAAGCCCACGCTCATCAAGGTGAAGACGACCATCGGCTTCGGGTCCCCCAACAAGGCGGACAGCCACGATGCCCATGGCGCCCCGCTGGGTGCCGATGAGGCCGAGGCCACACGCAAGCAGCTGGGCTGGAACTACGGAGAGTTCGAGGTGCCGGACACCGTCTACGACACCTTCCGCAAGCACGCCGAGGCCGGCGCTGAGAAGCAGAAGGCCTGGCAAAAGATGTGGGAGGAGTACCAAGAGAAGGAGCCGGAGCTCGCCGCGCAGTTCAAGCGCGCTGTTCTGGACCGCAAGCTGCCGGAGAACTGGAGGGAGGCTTTGCCCAAGCTTACCACTGAGGACAAGGGCAAGGCAACCCGCCTCCACTCGCAGGACTGCCTGAACGCCATCGCCAATGTGCTGCCCGAGTTCATGGGTGGCTCTGCCGACCTGGCGCCATCCAACATGACGCTGATGAAGTGCACCGGGGACTTCTTGAAGGACAGCTATTCTGAGCGCAACATGCGCTTTGGCATCCGCGAGTTCGGCATGGGGGCTGTTTCAAATGCCTTGTCCCTGGACAAGACGGGCATCATCCCATACTGTGCCACCTTCACCATTTTCACGGACTACATGCGCGGCGCGATCCGCATTGCCGCGCTCTCCCAGGCAGGCACTATTTTCGTGACCACCCATGACTCCATTGCAGTGGGCGAGGATGGCCCGACCCATCAGCCAATCGAGACCATTCCATCGCTGCGCCTGATCCCAGACTTGACCGTCATCCGACCAGCCGACGGGAATGAGACGGCCGGCGCCTACGCGTATGCTGTGGAGCGCTCCAAGAACGAGTCCAGGCCCACCATGATGGCCTTCTCCCGCCAGGCACTGGACAACATCCCCAACTCCTCCATCGAGAACACAATGAAGGGTGCCTACGAAGTGATCGAGTGCTCGGACCCGGAGCTGATTCTGATTGGCACGGGCTCAGAGGTGGGGCTGTGCATTGCTGCTGCGAAGGCAATGGACAAGAAGGTGCGCGTGGTCTCCATGCCCTCCTGCGAGATCTTCCGTGCCCAGTCTGACAGCTACAAGTCGGAGCTGTTGCCAGCCGACGTGCCCAAGATGAGCGTCGAGGCCGCTTGCACTTCCGGCTGGCGCGAGTTTGCGGACGCCTTTGTGGGCATCGACGTGTTCGGTGCCTCGGCGCCCGGTGGAACCTGCCTGGACAAGTTCGGCTTCAACGAGGACAACGTGCTGAAGTGCGCTGAGAGGTGCCTGGCCGGCGAGAAGGGCGTGCTGTCGGACGGCACCCAGGGCAAGCACTGAGCAACGAAGGAGCCTGCAGGCCTATGTTTCTAGAGGGCCAGCCATTCTTTCTTGGCTTGAGGCATTTTGAGGTGCTTGAGTCCTTGAGTCTTTACATCTTTGCCCAATCAGCCACCCTGAGTGTGGCTGCTGGTGAGCCATCATTTTCCGAAGCTCGAGTTTTCATTTTCAAACAAATTAGAGCCCAAGAGTCCACATGCTACGCATTCATTGACCGTGCTGTCAGGCGGCAGTCCATTCTCAGATGGCACCGGCTAGGCAAAAAGATGGGTGCTGCCGCGGCTTTTGCCTTTCACGCCAATTGTCCCAAGTTTGCCCACTAGAATTCGTATTCCCACGTCCCATTGGGCGTTGCGTCCCGTTCCCGGAAGGCCTTTCGGGCACCCACCGGCCACCCCGAAGTCCGCCCGCGTCCAGGCCCAGCTGCGGGCGCTGCGGCGCGCGGAGCTGCGGCGCCTCGAGCAGCGCCACGGCGCGGAGCAGCGCGCGGCGCTGCTGCAGCGCCGCTGCCGGCGCCTCGAGGAGGACGGACGAACGCAGCGAGAGACAGAGACGAGACGTGACGATGTGACTCGGAGGGATGTGAATCACGTGATGGTTTCTATGCCGTTTCTGGAAAGTGGGGCGATGCCAAGGTGTAAAGTATAAAATACATGCACAGAGGGAGGGAAAGGGAGGAAAGGAGCTCTAGATGAAATGGAGAAGGGAGGGTGCACGACCAGAGGATGGACATGCCGAAGGGTGTGATTCGTGTTCCGGAAGCAAATGCATTTGCTTGCTTGTGGCAACCTTGTTTGTTTTGAAGCGCAGTATGGGCCTTCCTGTAATCCCCCGTCGCAGGAGGTGCGACAGCTTCGAAGCTTCATGGGCAGGGCAGCCAGGAAGGAGAGGGCGCTGCTTGGCCACAACCCAACGCCTTTCGCAGAATCCTTCCGTTGCACCGCGGAAATCCAAGCAGTGACTCGTGGGACTTGTGGAGTTCTGCCCTGTTTGCAGGAGGAGCGGCAACCGCGTGAAGATCTACCGGAGCCGCCGGTCGTGGGAAAGATGCTTGGCATGCAAGGGCTTCGGAGCGGTGAAATTGTCTTGCGCTTTGACCCAGGACCCAAAGCTGTTGTGGCCCCGCACGCTGGCTGCGGCTGGATGACTGAGCAAGCTTGGGAAATTCGTCGCGCTCACACAAGTTTCCCGCCGCGAGTCCAATGTCACTTGCTCCGGGCAGTGAGTGAAGGCCAATGTACATATTTGCAACCTGCTTGCACAGCCTGGTGGCAAGGAAAGGCAAACAAACAGCGTCGGCAAGCAGAACCGGGCACGTGTGGCACGTGTGGCAAGACTTGAGGCGGACACCGTGCTGGAGCCCTCGCAGGCCAACGTGCTGGGCCTGGCAGCTGCTGTCCGGCACTTGGCTTCCGTGGGTCATCCAAACTCCGCAGCATCTCAGCATCTCGGCATGGCGAGGCATCGATGAACTTTGTGCTGCAGCGGCAATCCTTCGCTCCTGGCGCGGGGCTTCATGCCGCATTGGTAAAGCGGTACCTGATGGCAGAGGCGGGGATGGGCAAGGCGGCAGGGTGTTGGAGCAACAGTATGGACCGGCGGGCATGGCATGATCTGTGATGCCTATGTGTCAAATCACCGAGTGTTGCCCGCAGCAACTTGGCTCCAGTGTGAAGCCATGGCATCAGGCTCTAGTGAGAAGTCTCCAGAGGCGTTCCAAGATGAGGACAAACCAGGCATGCAAGGGTTGGCAAGCTGCCGGTCACAGCTACAATGTGTGTCTCAAAATGATGGGATCCTCGGGAGCGACAGTGTATCAGTGCTGCGCAGGGGCGTGCCGCAAATGCGCGGAGAATGGCCTCGACTGCTTCGCCTTCCTAGGTCGTGGTGTGGTGGCCACAGGGAGCGGCGCGTACCAAATGACGAAGCAGTGCGCGCCTCTCGGCTGCTTCTTTTTGCGGGAGAATAGTGAGTTCTCTCCCCACTTTCTTCACATTCCGGGCTCTGGCGAGTGAGGTATCCAGTGAAGGAATCCTTGCTGTCAACAGCTGACGGCACGAGCAACTACCTCCATCCTTGGCAGCAGAAGCTGCCAACCGAGTCTCACGTCCCCACCTTCCGAATGTGATAGGCCAGCTGGTGCGTGTGCTCAATCAGTATGATTCAGTGAAGGCACCTCAAAGAGTTGAATTGTGGGCTACCATTGCACAAGCTGAGAAAGCACAGCACCTCAGCTCAGCTCAGCCACGTATGCTTGGAATGTCAAGACGCACATCCCTTGCGTGTCCCCAATGGGGAACTGGCGGGAACTATCCTGCTTTGCCAAAGGCAGACTTGTCATAGCTGTCCAAAGTGCTGAGGGAGAGGAACCGTCGCAGCTGCGTTGCGTGCGATCGAGTGTGCAATTCGGAAAACAATTCAAGCTATGGGCTTCAAGTTCAGGCGCTCATCGTCACCATCCAGCAGGGTCTCTTTGTGACTCTCCTGGAGACCCGGCGAGGGGCCCATGGGCTCTTATCTGTCGCGCGCTCTTGGCACGGCATGGGTTTCGCAGCTTCGCACGTGCCCTTGGCTTCGCCAAGGCCATACCTGGCATGCCTAAGTTCAGAGGAAGCCTGGCAACTAGGAGCCCTGCGTATGGTGAGTCAGGCCGATGTTGGAGTGCGATGGGTCTGCAAATTGAAGCACCTGACACGGTGAGGCAGGTGTCTTCTTTGCGGTGTCGTTCCCTTTGCGAAAGCCATCCCGGCATGTTGGGCTTGGGGGGCTACTGGGATGCCAGTTCCACAGGTGTGCAGTGATGAGTTTCGAATCCCCGAAAACGGTGTGAGTTTGTCGCGTTTGTCTCAAAATAGGGCAGCCAACAATAGGTGGTCTTCCCTTGGATTCCCTTTGAAACAACCTCAAATAATTGTATTCTCGAGGCCCGCATACCCATGTGAACCTTGTGATGATGGTCGTGAAGTCTTGGCGTGGTGTGGCATGCAAACCTGGCGTATGGCAGGAATTGGGTTTTCGCAGCCTCAGAGCTGCCATTCCACGCGGCAAGGCCGACGCCATGGCGCAATGTGGAGTTTTCCCCTGTTGCTTCAGGCCTAGCCAAATTCTGAAGATGAGGGGCATGCCGTAATTTGGGCACGTGCCACAATAGTCTTATCGTCTGCCTTATTCAGGCACCTCGGATCTCGTCCATGGTGCGCAATACTTGCATTTGATGTGGATGGCTAGATTTGGCAGCGACACAGCCTGGCTTAAAGCTGGCAAGAGGCTGGCTTCAATCTTTAGCCTTGTGTTCGGCACACTGCAAAGAACAAGTACCGCCCAAGTTTTACAGCCGAACAAAAGTGGAATGAAGGCTTCAAGATTGTCAGGCCGCATGGAAAGCTTGAGGCGGTTACTTTGCGCCTTCGGGATGTGGCTGACGTGCCAGGCAAGCTTGAGTTTTCAGGCTCGTTTGTGCTTTCACCCATGCCTATCCGCCGGCTTTCATGGCACCTGTCCCGAAGTCGCACGCATTGTGATCGGGGTTGCGCCAGTCTTCTCTGAACACGGCCCTTTCTGCCCTGCCAAAGAAGAAAGGCAATGCACAATGACCATGTCTTGGCGCTAGCGTCTCAAGGGAGGCAGCGCTACCTTTTCTGACAACAAAGTCTGAGTTTGGATGGATGGCTCAGGGCAAATGCACTGAGCTTGGCTAAGTGCAAGCGGCGCATTGCGCCTCTTGCTAGTGTTCCTGTCCAGCTCAGGCTTCGTATTACAAGCTCCGGCCGCGCACAAGTATAGCGCTGGAGGGTTGGCCGGGCACAGACGAGGGTCCGCCCTTGCGTAGGCGGGCGTTTGCAGCCCCAATCCCCTCAGACCAAGACGGCCGCGGAGTCATGCCAAAAACTATCTCCGCAAATTGGATGCTGGCACTTTTAAGGAGCAGCCTGGCAATTTTATAATACAGCCGAAGCAACCAACGCGCTCTTAAAGAGTTCGGCAGTGCAGAGAGACTCGAGTTTGTGCCAATGCACGCTTTGCACTGTGAGGGCTTATCGCATGTCATCATGGACTCACTGCAGCTGGTCGGAAAGACTGGGAAGCAGGCATCAGCAAGCTAGGCACCTTTTCAGCAGCAAGGCAGCCCAAAGGTGCACATAGATACATCATAGATAAAATATGATATATATATATATATATCAGCATCAAAAACAACACATCTCAGAGCCCAGAACAGTTCAGAAGTGCTGTCACACATCTCCACGCCCAGTACACGCAATTTGCGCAGTGCATGGCCACCATGCCGATGCAATGAGTGCCGCTGACAGCGTCAAGAGCGCCTTAGATCTGCACACCATAGGGACTTGTGGCATGTTGCGCCTCCGCGACTCAGGTGCGTTGTTCGTGGGCAACTCCCACACTTACCAGCCAAAGGAGCTGGGCGGAGTGCCAGGAGCGCTTTCCCGGCTCGCAGCTGCGTGTGGGCACACCTTGTGGCTCGGAACCAACTCGGCCAGGTTTGCGCAGCCTGTTTGCTAGCAGTCTGTGTAAGTTCATCTAGCGCAGGAATGCAGTGGAATGCCACGGCTTTTTGTTGCATGCAAGGTCGACGGAAAGCGTCACTCAAGGCGGAGCTGACTTGGCAGACCTGTGGGCAGAATTTCAGAGCTTTGTGCAAAGGAGTGCCTTCCTCAAATGTTAGCGGGCCGGAACAGTGGCATGGAGAGCAGTCCTGGTGCTTTGTAGCGAAATCCTTGTTACTTGGCAAGCTCTTGTGGCCTGAGGCAAGGATGGAGCTTCATGGGACACGGTGGTACTGCAAGTCGGAAAAGGCTCGGATGAGCATAGCCGCTTTGCCATTGTGGAGTCTTGGCGCCTACTGTCCACGCCAGACATGAACTTGGAAAGACCAGGCTGAATGAGATGCAGAGACTGTTCTATTTTATCACGTGGTCCTTTTGCAAAAGGTAGGAGTGGGAGTAGCTTCCTCACCACTGAGGCAAGTTGAACCAGCCAAATAAGAAGGTTCAGCGTGTCCCACAGAGGCCACTGGTAGGTCATCCAAAATCACTGAGCATCCAAGGAGGTGCTGCGCCACCGCTATGCGCCGCTCCTCTTGCAGATGCCCTCGCCACGGGTTGTGCTATACCAAACCTGGCGGCTCGGCTTCCAGCTCATTTGCATAGCTCGACTGAGAAAAGCTTCTCACTCCCGTTTTCCCTGCTTGGCCACTGTCAGGTATAGGAAAGTAGCGCTTTGTGCCCCTGACACCTGACACCTGTTGCTCTTTGTGAGGTCCACGCCTTGGCCTGGCGCGAGTGAAGGCGAGGAGCTGACCGCGAGCCTTGAGGCATCGCCAGACGGCAGCTCAGATTCTTTGGACCCGGATTTTTTGGGGTCTGAACTTGACATAAATCATGATACAGAAACTGTGGGGGGGGTCGTGTTTAAGCCGGGGAAACTTGACATAATTCAGACTACCGATGTTAAACCAGGTGCAACATTAACAAGCCACCCAAAGCCCCGCCACCCTGATTTTGCCAGCTGTTTGAGATGGCAACCGGTTGCTTCGTAAGAGGTTAGTCAGGCTGGTAATAAACCGCATTTGGAAGATTTGCCACTTTGGCGCTTCAATTGCAGGAGTATCGTGCAGCGCTAGTCTCGGCCGGCATCAAGGAGCCCTGACGGTGCAGACATCTGTGCAAGTGATTGCAGTTTGAAACATGGCCTGGTTTCTCATACATGGGCCTGAACCGTGCGCAGAGCGACGGGCAGCTAAGGAAGTCAGCGTGGCCAAAGCTGGCCATGCTTTTCTGCACCTCCGCTCGTTGGATAGCCGTGTCTACCCAGCATTGTGGAAGGATGACATGGGCCACGGTTCAGCATTAGCAGGCCGGGCTTTTGCCTGACTCAAGTTGCCGGGACCGTCATGAAGCGTCATGAAGCGGGGCTGCTAGGTACCCTCGTTGCGATGGTGCTTGCCATGACCCTGGGGATCACGCAAGGCGAACGTGCGGGAAGGCGGTGGCCCGAGCTTGCCACGTATAACCTGCACCGGTCAGATCTGTTCCAGTGGCAGTGTGCCGTGCTTTCAGGATGCTGGAAGCAATGCTGCCCAGTGCTTGGCGGACAGCGAGTCCTGGCTTTGCAGGCTGGATGCACTGCGAGCCAGCTGTTTCATACTGGGCTTGAAACGTTTGGCTTCGGTACTTGCGAGGTGCCACTGACTTTGGACAGAAAGCCTGGCGAGAGGAGAGTGGCAAGACTGATTTGGCTGTGCTAAATTGGAGATCTTGTCAGTTGCGACGTCACTGGCGACCGTCTCTCAGAGTCTCGCCTCTTTTTTCAAGGCAAGGGCGCGCCAGCCGCGGTTATGAGTCTACTCCAGGATGCGGTTGCCTGACTGCAGCCACGCCACAAAAAGGAGGGGTATTTTAAAGGACTTTTCTTTTCGCTTTTCGCTTTTGGCTTCTTGGCTTCTTGGCTTCTTGGCTTCTTGCCTTCTCGGCTTCTCGGCTTGTCGGCTTCTTGGCTTCTTGGCTTCTTGGCTTCTCGGCTTCTCGGCTTCTTGGCTTTTCGGTTTCTTGTTGGTTTATGCGGCTTTTGGTGGCTTTTTAGCTTTTGCTTTTCGCATCTTCTGCTTTCCCAGTTCCTCTCCGGGCTTCTTGGCTTTTGCACCCTTTCAGTGGTTTTTGGCTTTGGCTTCCCGAATCCTCAACATCACCAGTTCCTCTCCGCAAGTGTTCTTTAGTTTTATGTTTATGTATGTCTGCATTTATGTATGTCTGTAGGTATGCACTTGGGAACCCCCCCCCCAACCCCCGCTGCTGCTTCTTTTTATATTCTATCGCACCTTTCTTGAATCTTTGCACCCCTATTTGAATCATCACTTCTTCAAACATCATGGGGCAGCCCCCCCCCCCCCAACCCCCCGCTACTTGATAGATTTCTTGCAGAGATTTAATTGCACCCCTATTTCAATCTTCACTTCTTTGAACGCCCGCCCCCGGCCTCCCCCCGCTCCCCGCCTCGCTCTTGGGTGGAAAATTCTATTGTACAAATTATTTCATTTTTGATTTTAATTGTAGTTACCGTATGCATTGTACGTATTTTTTATGTTCATAGTGTTCTTAACGTAAAATAGTCTCTTACCTACCGGAGCGTTCCCGACCCTGACGGTTTCGTTTCCGATGGGACGCCCTTGAGGGGCGCAGATGGAGGCCCGGGGACCCAGGGCCGGGGGGCCGGGGGAGGGGGGGGCGGGGGGGGGCCGGGGGGGCCCGGGGGGCGGCAGCCCCCCCCCTCCCCCAACACCCCCGCTACTTTTTGCACTTTTGCAGATATTTAGTTGCACCCCTATTTGAATCATCACTTCTGCGAACATCATGGGGGGCGCTGCCGCTGCCCCCAACCCCCCGCTGCCTTTTTTTTACAGGGATTGAACCGCCCTCCTATTTGAATCATTTTTTTGACCCCGTCAACCCGCCAACTACTTTTTAGTTTTTTTTTACCCACGGTTTGTTGGTGATGCTGGGGATGTTGGTCGGACATGCGGGGGATGTTGAAAACGATGCTGGGGATGTTGACGGGCTAGTGTAAAATACGTCAATTTTGCGAGAACATGCTGTAAAATATGGCCAAGACGGAAGAAAGAACACAACTCCAAAAAACAAAAACATTCCCGAAATAAATCCGCACCCCTACAAAAGTTCGGCAGACAGGGCTTGGTGCGTGCAATGGGCTGAGGACGAGGACCTTCCTCTCAGCAAATATCCACCGGGTATGCGCACAGAACGGCGCGACTTGCCTTTTCAGTTTGGTGACTTGGCAGCGCTGGGTGCATTTCTTGAGAGCGATGGCTGCATAGAGCTTGCTATGGCCCGAAGTTGGAGGTGAGCTCCTGGTTGCCTCGGCTGCCAGCGTGCAAGTGTCCGGCCCAACAGCTTCACCAGAGGCGTCGCAGTGAAAAGGTTTTCTCTATGATTCTGAGTCTCATTGACCTGACAGGAGCCAATGAAGTGCTCGCCAGGAGGCTGGGTTCGGAGCGTAATAGATCAGTAACCACGGCCCTGCTGCATCGGCTGAGGCTATGCGACTGAGCCTGTCAAGGCGCGGAGGTGGCAAAAGCGATGAGGAAAATGTTGTGGATGCACGTGCTGCGAAACCGACTGTGACGAAGCAAAGCCGTCCGAGGCAGTAGCTCTAAAGTGATTACACCGGCAGCGATTGTGCATGCGCAGCTTGAGATCGGGAAGGCGTTGCGTAACACATTGCGATAACCAAACGCCTCAAAAGATAAGGCTGTCCAAGAAGTCATGCCAGCCTTTCTTTTGGGCGAGACAGACCGACATGTGAATCTTGCGGTCATGACGGTTTGTGTTGCCAGCCGCATTACAAACTTGTGCGCCGGAAGGGTCTTGCAGCAATGTCGCGTGATTTGGCACGAGGCGTGGCTTTGGGCGC